CCTGGCTGTGGTCCTGGGGCATCCCCATTTTCCTCTGTCACCTTTCTGACAATCCCTCACACAAACACGGCCCCCCTCATATCCCAACCAACATCTTCACACGGATCCGCTCGAAATCCTCGGGTCCTCGGGGGCCCACCTGACACCTCATGGATTGCGAGCCCCCTCTTTGGGGGGCTCAAGAGCTTGTCCGATGGCCTGAGGGGTTATGAGCTTCTAAATCTCTCCTCCTGAGGCCCCAAGGCCCACCCCGCTTCTCTATCAAACTCACGAGGCTCCAATACAGCTGTTTTTTCCTGTTTCTGGACCAGGCACGGTCAAGGCCTCTGACCTTTCCTGTCTAGAACGTTCTTTCCTCTCATGCTGTGGAACTCACCTGAAAGGAGGCGGTGGCTCTCCGAGCCCCGGGACGTCAGCCCACCGGCGGGGCACAGAACCCGAGGGCCTGTGGCCAGGCCGGGATGGCTCCAGGGATCCGCTGGCACCCCTCTGCGCCAGGCTCCTCATGCCAATGGCTGCGCAGGCCCATGGCGCTCTCTGGTCTTTGGTTTTGCCCCACTGGCAGAGGAGTTGAGGAAATACGGCCCCTAGAGGCTGCCCCACGGTGCTGCCCAGAGCTCACGGGGAAGCACCCAGCCTGCTCCCCTGTGTCCAGGGCGCCCTGTGTGCTCCACACACAGCCCATGGAGGAAGCCCTGGCCCCTGGAGTTCCTCCCAAACACCTACTTACACCTTCATCTCGGAGTCCACTTCTCAGGAGCCTAAACTAGTGAGACAGGTGGAGACAAGCTGACCTTGGCTCCCAAATTGGCCTCCCCAGGCGTCTGAAATATAGGGTCCACCAGGAGGCTGGGGCCAAGGTACATGCAGGGAGCAGCCGTGGGCGCGGAGTATGACACATTCATGGGGAGGGAGAAGAAACCCCGACTTCTGATGGGGTCCCAGGACAGGGCTCCCCAAGGCCTCAACTAGGCCCCAGCCTCAATTAGCTCCCAGCCTCTCCTGGTTTATGTAGCCGCGCTAGGTCTCAATGAGCTTACCTGGCCTCCACGGGCTCCTCCTTGGGCTCAACCTGTCTCTCGGCTTCAACTCGAGCTCCTGGACTACAGCAGCTCCCTAAGCCTCAACCAGGCCTCCTGGCCCCAACTAGCCCATGTGGACTGAACCAGCCCCCCAGCCTCAACTAGCATCCCTGGCCTCCGCCAGAGCTCCTGGCCTCAACTAGTCCCTCTGTTCTGAACTCCCCTCCCCTCCCGCCTTCCAGGATTTCCCAGGCCCCTTGCCCCTCGACTTCCTACCTTGTTTGTTTAATCTTGTTCTTGACCACACCTGAGAGGCCTTTCCCCATCTCCTTCTAGAACATTCCTCTAGCACCCACACACCCAGGTCACCCACCTCCCTCCTGTGGAGGATCTCCCAGGGCCTCCCATGTCTTGTCTCCCAGAGAGGAGCTGGGAGCCTCCTCCAGCTTGCCAGGCTCTGAGCCTCTGCGGGGAGAGGGTGGGGATCCCTGAGTCCTCGTGACCAGAAGCAGAAGCAGCTTCTGCCAGGGTCCTGGACAAGGAGGAGCCGGAGGTGCACAAAAACTTAAGTACCCCAACCGGGATCACATTTTTAGGAAATGAAAAGCAAGATGTTTAAACCCTATTTGGCCTGACTGCCCCCTCCCAGCGTGGTTTCCCTCATAAACCTGCTGACCCCATGGCCCAGCCCACATCCTCGGTACATGGTGGAGGCTTCCAGCTGGCCACACCTGGCAGACAGTGACTCACAGGCAAGCTCCGGGGTCTAGTTGCCAGGTCCTAGAGAACCTACCAGTGTGGACCAGCGCCCCAACGGGACGCAATGAGGCAGAGGAAGGGCTGTACCTGGCTGCTACCTGGGTGTCCTCCGGACAGTGAGGACTCTGGGAGGGAAGTCCTCAGGGCTGTGGTGGGGGTGAGATCATGTATTTGCATTACAAAGGGCCCTTGTGCAGAAGGGAAGGCTGGAGTTGGGCTTATTGCCTTGCAGGAAGCTTCTAGGCCTTCAGAGAAAGAGACCTGATCTCCATGGAAATTCGTTTGCTGAGAGAAAGGAGCTATTTTAAGGACTGGAGGAGACAAGAACCTGTAGGCTGGGGTTAGGGAAGGTAGCTGTGAGAGAGAGCTTTTCTGAATGACTCACTAATTTCTTTCCTATGGGGTGGAAGAAATGGCATGGAAAAAGACCAGAACCAGAGAGGAGGAGCAGCTGGGCAGGGCTGACTGATCTGGACACCGCATGGGGGGGCGGGGGGCGATGCTGGGGTCCAGTCGCGGAGCATCCATCATGATAAAACACCTTCTGTTGGCGTAAAATCTGCTGGCTCTACCAACTCTCACAGTCACACAAAGGAAACACTGGCTTAAAAAAACAGTGACAGTAGCACCTTCATAAAGAGGGGGCGAGAGGCTTCACCCTGAGGGCTGGGAGGGAAATTGGCCAGTGAAGGACCTTCTTGCCCAGGGAGCTTGGTAAGCAGCTGGCGTGGAGCGGAGGTAAAGGCTGGGTGATACGGCGCAGAGATCTGGGCTCCCGTCCTGCCGTGGGAGGGAAAAGAGGGTGTGGAGAGGCCTGCGACCAGAGCAGAGCAGAAATGGGAGAGCCATCTGGCTGCAGGGCCCCCCAAGGGATGGGCCAGCCACCAGGGAGAGAGGTGGGCAGGGATTGGGGGTCCGGGCTGAGCCACTGGTTGAAAAATCCTGAAGGTCGCAATGTAGCCGGTTTGGCCTGGGGGCCTGCTCCGGTCAGCTGAGTCCAGTGGGCGCTCACACGGCCACGTGGGAGTCTGAGGTGCTTGGGGCCCTCCGCTTGTGCGGGTGTCTAGAGCTCAGAGCAAAGTGGCGGGAAGTCCAAGGTGCACCCCTCTGCTGCTCCACCTGCTTTTGGGTACCTTCAGAAATGGCGGGGAGCCTAGAGTCCACTAGGGGTGGGTGTGGGAGCTCCCCTGGGTGGAGGGTCTCGGGGGGCCTTGGCCCAAAGACTGGTGTCTCTAGCTGTGTCCTCTTGGCTCATCAAGTCAGAAAGCTGGTGCTGGGGGGCTAGGGTTGGGTCCCACAAGGGAACGAGGCTGTGGGCAGGACCAGGGGGTTCCAGCTTCCAGCTGCTGGGGTGAGGGGCCATCATCGCAGCTGCCTTTCAACCCTGGCCGCTTCAGCCTGCACAGTTTGCTCAGGGCTCTCAACTCCCCTAGGGCCCATGCGTGGCCAGTGGGCAGCCCCAGTGGTGGAAGGCAGCCCAGGCTCAAGCGCCCTGGACCCCGGCCCCGGGGTTGGTGACTGCCTGGACCCCCAGTGAAGGAAAGCAGTTTGGCTTAGCAGTTTAGCTTAGTTAGTAATTCTGGGCCTCAGGCTGATAAGGAAGAGCCCGCGACCTTGACTAGGGTCTGGCTGTCTCCATCCCGTACATGGGCACAGACCCAAAAACCCCAGCTTACAGGTTCTTTTGTAAATAATTTTTGATACTTCCCACCCGCCTAGCCGGGGCCTGGCCAATGGGCGCAGGCCACGGTAGCCCCCTCTGTTACAGTATATAAGCTTGATGCTGAAAATAAAGACAGGGACTTTTCCTGGTGAACAGACTCACGGTGTCCGTTCTTTTTCCTTTCACCCAGTGCCGGGCCCTTCAGGGAAGGAGCTGGAGGCCTTCGACCTGGGCCTGTTGGCGGGTGTTTAGTGATTGAGACTAAGCCACACCCTTAATGCCAGGAGCAGCTTGGGGCACTGGTCATGGATGCTGGCAGGATGATGGGGTGACGTGGTGAGCACTCGGCCCCACATGGGGTGGTGTTGAGGGGCCGCGCCGGGCTTCAAGCTAGTTTACTGGGTCCTCTCTGGCCAGAGCGCTGCTCTCCAACCCCCTCGACTCCTCTCCCCAGCAACGGCTCTGCAGCCTCGAGACCTAAGGTTCTGGATGTCAGGAAGACGCCAGGCAGCGCCGTGAGAAAGGCACAATTTATTGGTCACGCAGACGAACACGTGGGGAAGTAGGGAGCGTACCTATTCACAAGCACTCACACGCACTTTGGGGTTCGGTCCCCTGCCTAAATTGTTGTCAAAAAGCCACATGAGAAAAGAATGACTCATCTAGTCTCCTAGCAACCAAGGAAGCAGGGTGTCGCCCCGGACACAGCCCGGTCCTGGGCCTCTTGACAGAAGCCGGATGTCTCTGGCGGCCAGTCCGGACCTCAGAAGCAGCAGCCGAGCCTTGTGTTAGCACGAGGAGACCGGCTGGAGGCTCCTGTGCCACGTGGCCCGGAGGTGGCGGCCACCTCGAGAAGGGCACAGGGACGAGGCACAGGTGTGGGCTCGAGCTGGCCGAGGCGGCCTCCCCCGTGGTTCTGAGCCACCTGGGGGAGCCGGGGGGTCAGTCACCTAAAGCACTCGGCGTCACTGACACTCAGCAGAGCCGGGTCTGTCTTCCCTTGGTGACCACCTCACCTCGGCTCCGGGGAGGCCCAGCCCGGCTCGCTCCTGGGCCGGCCTTTTTAATGCTTTGCCCCACCCAGGACGTACACTGAGCCGGGGCCTGGGGGTGTGGTTTGGTGGGTGGAAGAAGACTCAAGCCTCCATTGTTCGTTGAGCACTCAACACGGTAGCTAGCTCGAGTCAGGGCCCCACACGGGTAGCCATTATTATTATTAATAGTATTATTATTGCGGTTGCCCCCTCCCTCACCAGTCGGTGCTTTAGTTCCGCTCTTCTACATGGCGGCCAGAACAAGGCTCTCGGGTCCCGAGTACCGAGGCCAAGCTGGGGCCCAGGTGTGCGGCTTGTCTGTGGGGCCATGCTCTCAGCCTCGTCACCGGGTGCCGAGTTCCTGGGCCACCGAAGCCGGGTCCTCGGCTGGGAAACATGAAGCTGTGCACAGGCGGCTGGGGAGGGCGCCACAGGAGGCGTGGGACGGGGCTGGCGCGTCTGGCTGCTCCTCTGGGCTCCCTCTCTCTGCCAGCTCACCGGAGGCTTCACTGCGGGAGAGCAGAAGACCGTCAGGGCGCGTTCCCCCCGGACTGACTTAACTAGAGGTCCCCATGACCCAACACCTGCGGGCGAGGGGAGGTTTCCTTTAATACACTGGCAAGGGCCACCTGGCCGTTACCTTGTCCTGCATGCCCCAGTATACATGTACGTGCATGGGATGTGTGTAAGTTGTGATGGTCTATGAACATGAAATGCACAATGCCAACATGTTGTTTAAATGCATAAATTATAACCTACGACGTAATAAAATTGAATCTCCTAAGCCGAGAGGAAGGCACTCTTACTAGCCCCCCTTTCCAGATGAGTAAACTGAGGCTCGAGGCACAGAACCAGGCAGTAGGAGACCTGGGATGCAAACCCAAGACAACTCTAGAGTCTGCTCTTGACCACTATTTGCTTTACTAAAAAATTAAAAATCTGGCCCTCCCTGGTGGTGCCACGGGTTAGGAGGCACCACTGCAAGCTGGCCGCAGCTGCTTCAGTGTGAGTTCAGTCCCCAGTCCCCGAGGTGACCCACAGGGCGCCACAGACCTCCCCTGTCTCCCTGCTGCTCCCCTCCGCACTGTGCTTCATCCACCTGCCTGTTCTGCTCCCCAGTGTCTCGAGTGAATCCTCTCGCTGCCCCTGCACCTCTGGCCTGCACCCCAGTTTTGTATGCAGAAATAAAGAAGTAAATCTTTAAAAAATAAAGATAAAAATAAAATAAAAAATAAAGCCTGTTTTATAGGCAGGGAGGGGCCATTGGACGTCCCTAAAATACAGGGGTACTATGAGGAATGGCAATGAACTGCAGGCGACCCGGTGTTCCCGGAGCCTCCCCCGTCTGACACAGCGGACGCGGCGCCCACAGCCTCCTTCCAACCCTTCAGTGTGGGAGGGGCCTGGGGTGCACCCCCGGCTCAGATCCTGCCCCCTCCGCCTTCCGCCTTCCGGAGGGGGTCTCAGACCCGGTTTCCGGGAAGCCTCTCGGGGGCGCTGCTTCCGCGCCAGGCAGGTGCCAGGCAGGTGCCAGGCAGGTGCCAGGCATACTCCTGAGCCGCGGCTGCCGGGTTGTGCCGGCGAACCCGCCGCCTCGCAGCACAGGCCCCGTGTGCACAGCCACGCG